TGGGCTGTGACTAAATTGTCCAGATCTACTTTTCTACTTTCTTCCCTGCCCCAAGCAATGTGATGTGTTTTAAATTATTTCCTATTATTATTGTGTGTGTTTATATATATATATATATATATATATATATATATGACAACATCATGGAGTGGCACTTATACCACAGTGCACGTGAGGAGGTTAGAGGTGTGTGTGTGTGTGTGTGTGTGTACGTGTGTGTACATGTGTGCAGGTGCCTAAGGGGAAAGGAAAAGAGTGAGAGACCCCATGGTGCCAGAGTTACAAATTCCTGAGAGGTCCCTATGTACTCAGTACTCGGAACTGAAGAGCACCATTCCTCTGTAAGAGCAGTACATATTCTTAAACACTCTCTCACTCTCTCTCTCTCTCTCTCTCTCTCTCTCTCTCTCTCTCTCTCTCTCTCTGAGTCATGTCTCCAGCTCTTTTGTTTTTTAAAAATTAATTGTGGCCCACTAAATTGATTTCTCCAGTCTTCAGTAGTTTTGACTGGGAGGTCAGTTTATGAAGACAGAAACACTGCTGCCAATCCTGAAGTGAAATCGGAGAAGGAAACCAAACAGGAGAAAGACATACAGTGGGATGTGAGAAACTGTTCTTTGATATTTAGGAAGATGGGTTGGAGAGATGGCTCAGTGGTTAAGACTGCTGGCTGCTCTTCCAGAGGTCCTGAGATCAATTCCCAGCAACCACATGGTGGCTCACAACCATCTGTAATGGGATCTGATGCCCTCTTTTGGTGTGTCTGAAGACAGCTACAGTGTACTTATATAAAATAAAAATAAATCTTGAAAAAAAATTAAAACTAAAAGAGGAGAATGATCCCTGAACTTTAAGAATATGCATGTAGGGGCTGGAGAGTTGGCCCAGTGGTTGAGTGGTGCTCTTACAGCGGACCAGAGTTTGGTTCCCGGCACCCACATCAGACAGTTCACAGCAACCTCAACCTCCAGCTCCAGGAATGCCATCTCTCTCCTGGCTTCTGTTGGAATCTGTACACACAAGGCATATATTAACACACACACACACACACACACACACACACACCCCTTTATTTTTTAATAAGAATATTTTATAATACAAATAAAATCTGAGCTTAAAATATTTAGTATTCATAAACAAATCAGTAAAAAAATTAAGCAAAGGCTATCAACAGGCAATTTAGAAGGAAAAGGTGTGACGACGACACTCAGGGTTAGGCGGATGGGAAGAGCAGAGGCTGGGGTGACTAAAGCTGAGAAACTCAGAAGAAGAGTATAAACTGCAGACTCTGAGAATAGATGACTGGCTGGTTCCGAGGTTAGGTTCTTCAAAGAGAAAATTGCCAAGTGTATTCAGCTACTAAGGGAAGGGAACTGTAGCAGCCAGGATGGAATGTGGCTAGTGTGAGTTCACAGAAAGCATAGGAGGCACAGTGGAGACAGCAGGAAGGAAGAAGCGACTCTGGTCCTCTAGAGAGACTGCGCCCTACAGCGCCACCTCGTGGCAAAATAGCAGAAATTTGCTGAGGTTTGCAGCCAATGGGTAAACTCTTAACTGGTACAGCTAATAGCACTGATAATCAGCACTTATATTTAAGCTCACATACCCTCCTAACCTTTTTCTTACTTATTTATGACAGAAAATAATGATATTATCATCTCCTCAAAGAGACACAAGGGGCCAGGCAAGGTACATATATGTAATCTCAGCACTCCGATAGTAGAGAGAGGAAGATCAAGAGATTAAGGCCAGTCTGGGCTATAACGTGGCTCTGCTTTGAAAATGAAAGAGAGAGCAGGTCAATATAGTAATTGTGTCCCTCACAGAGACTGTGATACGTTCCATCTCTGCTCTATGATAACTACTATAAAGGTTTGTTCACAATTCCACCTGAATATTGTTACCTAGAAATAAAAATGATAATATATTAATCTCCAGGAAAATCTATTTTAAATAATCAGGAGGATTTAAGGCAGAGTGGAATAACAGGCTTCTCTCTGGCTTGTTATGAATTTAAAAGTAACATGAACTGTGTGATTGACCTAGCTCACTGCCCAAAGAGAGGCTTCAGTCAGCAGCACTGGGGTGGGGGGAGCTGTGGCAGAGCCCTCTCACTGTCCTGTGTTAGGGAGGGAGAGCTGAACTCACAGGGGCTCACACTGAAAACAGGAAAGCCGCATAGAAAGAGAACTCTAGAGACTGCATAGGTACCCACTGAGCCTGCAGCTGAGTACTGACCATTGCACATGTTAAGGAAACTACTGAAGGGCAGGAAACTGAGAACCAGGCTCGTTCCCCTAGCCAACCTCCCAACTTAGGGATATCCAGGGAAGACATATACAGTTTTTGCCTCAGAGAACATTAACCATTCATTTAAAACTAATCTAGATTCATTGAACAGCTTCCAAGTCGATACAAAGAGCAAACTGCTTCCAAATAACTCATAAGTTACTAATCCAAAGTTCAAGAATTATAAAACTATGAAAACTATACAACAGTCAAAAAAGTAAAAATTTACAATGCCTGACATACATCAATAACCAGGCATGAAAGTAACAACCACAAAATACATCTCATAATGAGAAGAAAAAAATCAATTAATAGACACTGTCCCAGTGATTATACAGATGACAGGATTAAACACAAATAAACCAAATCATTATTAAAACAAAATTACATATGTCAAAAGTAATGACAGGGCAGGCAGAACATGCCGAGAAGATATAAAAGGAATTCATGGAGGAATGTTTATGCGTGGAGGATATTTTAAAAGACCCACGTTTCACTATTAGAGATACAAAAGTTTTAAGTGAAATTAAAATTATTTTTTTTGTTTTTTGTTTTTGTTTTCGAGACAGGGTTTCTCTGTGTAGTCCTGGCTGTCCTGGAACTCACTCTGTAGACCAGGCTGGCCTCGAACTCAGAAATCCGCCTGCCTCTGCCTTCCAAGTGCTGGGATTAAAGGCATGTACCACCACTGTCTGGCTAAAAAATTTTAAAAACCACACTAGATGGCATTTATGATAGGCTATAGATTGTAGAAAAAAAAGATTAGTATAAACAGGAAGAAACACAAAATAAAACAACACAAACTATCCAGTGAAATATGGAGAGAAAAAAACCCAGAAGCGCATTGGCTTCATAGAGCTTATCAGACCCATGGCTTATGCCCACAGAGAGGCAGGAAGGAACATTGGAAGGAATAATGGCCCCCAAATTTTATGAATTTCATGAAGGCCATAAAGTCAAAGTTTCAAAGAGTGTAAGCAATCCCAAATATAAGACAGAGGAAATGAAGTACACCAAGGTATATCATAAAGTGCTCCACCAGCAGTGCACAGCATACCTTGACAGAGGCCATGGACACCTTCGTGTGGAGGATCAAAGGCATGGCTACAGCAGCACTGCTGTCACTGTTGCTGCTAGAAGCAATGCAAATCAGAAGAGTGAGCAATGTTACAAAGAGGGACAGCAGAATTCCTAACCTGGAAACATGCTTTACAAGTTCTACTCCACATCAATGAGAGGAAAGGCCCCGAGCGGTGACCACCAAGCATTGGTCAGTGTGATGCTAAAGGCAAGAAGCAAAGTCACTGCTGAGAACCTAGAGGACCACTTAAGATCACCTGAAAGACACTATTGTGTGTGGAAGCAACTTGTAGAAAACACTAGGTTGGCTCATTGAGGCTTTTTGCCGTTCTCTTCCCGCCATTTAGGCTAGAAAGCTAAATATCTGTTTTCCCAGCCTCCCTTGCAGCTAAAGATAACATGTATGATTCAGATTGGGTCAAAGAGATATACTTATAAGTCCCTGGTAAAGGTTTCTCTTTCCAGCTGACATGGAAAAACACTGGTAGGAAGATCAACTACCCTGCTCCTTCCGCTGTGCCTTCCATCTGAGAGGAACACAGGCAGGAGCCTACAGACATGCACGTATCTTGTAACCCTGAGGTAGTATGCAAGTGTACAGAATGCTGTACTGTGTATAAAGGTGGTAAGGCAGTCAATAGATTATCTGCTGACATTACTGGATGATAGACTGTGTGACTTACTGTAGGAGATGAACTGCTATTTATTTCTTCCACTCTAGGATAGGTTTTCTGTTTTATTTTTGTTGTTTGTTTTTTTACAGCTATAAATTCTAAGCATTGATTATGGTGTGTGTTAAGGACTCAGGCAGGAGAAACAAAGGGAAAGGCGATTCATTTAGTCAGTAGAGGTTGGGTCAGACATCCAGGCCTTGGATATGTACATTAACTCTTTTAGGATGAGAGCAATAGAACAAATAAGGAAACAGGAATTCTGTAAAGTCTAGAAAAAGATGTAAGGAAAACACCTTGTTAATTGGATTTCTGGTTTTTCCCATGGCCTGCAAAGTCTGGGGAAAGAGGATCCTGTCAATGCAAACCTTAAAATTTTTTTAAATTAAATATATATTTAATGTATTATATAGTAATTTACTATATTTTAAATTATATAGTATATAATTTTATGCCTATTGTTTATATTCAATGCATTTATACTAAATATATTTATATTAAATTATTATATATTAATTATGTATATTAAATTATATAAACTGTTATACACACATTGATATATGTGTGGAGGTCAGAGGACAACTTTTGGGAGTCCGTTCTCTCCTTCTACCACGTGAATCCCTGAAATCAAATTCAGGTTATCAATTTTGGTGGCAGGCACTGTTACACTCTGAGCCATCTGACTGGCCTTGTCTCCCTGCCACCCCACCCCCTTCTCTCTTTACTTTGTTTTAGTTTTTGAGATAGGATCTTGCTATGTAACTTTGACTAGTCTGGTACTTTTTAGTCATATAGTCCTGGCTGGCCTTAAACTCATGGCAATCCTCCTGCATCAGCCTCTCCTAGTTCTGGGATTTCAGGTGTGCACCACCACACCCAGCCATTTCTTTTCAGTACAATTGGCAGTAAATATTGTATACCATTCCCAGGTAATATATAAAAAAGATTCTGAGAAGTGACTTCTTTACAAGAATTTGCATTTATTTAATTTTTCAAACTAACCTGGCTGGTACAGCTGAAGGCAAGACACAACTATTATCAAGCATAATGGATCCAACTATTAGACGGTGCCATTAAAGGCTTTCTCGACTGCAGATGGAGAACACTGCTCCTCATTCATTACTGTTGCACACATTGTCTTTAACATCACATAACACATGCCAGGCACAGCAGCACTATTTCCTACAGAGAACAATGAGGAAGACACATGTCACGGCTAACAGTAACACACGTTTACAAAGTGCAACAGGTACATGAACGATTGCCTTCATTGACGAATACAGCCATTCTGAAGCTGTGGAATGTAGAATATAGATTTATGGCAAATGTGTGTTTCATCACATTTCTCTCTCTCTCTCTCTCTCTCTCTCTCTCTCTCTCTCTCTCTGAATTCCAGCTTTGAAACATAAATAAGTGAAATATAGAGGAAGAGACCTAGATAAAAATCTCTTTTATGAGACAAGGACAACATGGAATCTACCAGGATCCTTCCTGTGCCCTTCCTGAAGCATCAATGATCCAGAAGCAGATGCTTGGCTTTTCCAGAGTCACACTCAGCCCATCTTCCAAATCCTACTAAAAGAGGAAAGAGGCAGTCGATAATGGAGAAAAGTCTGGACAAACACATTTCTGACATTATTTCCACGCTAGTAACAGACAGGAATATGATATTGCATTAAACGTTATAAATGTTTAACTTATTTTGTTACGTTAGACACACACTTTTGTAATAAGAAAATTAATAGGGACATTATTAAAGAGAAGCAACTGCTTGTCTGCTGTTTGTTTGTTTCTTTAAGGCACAGTTGGCCGTACTAAAAAGAAAAAGTAAACTGGAAAAGACTGACAAATTCTTTGCTATTAGCCAATTCTTTGTTAATAGCAGTTTTGTGAGGCAGAGAGGCATTCGGGTAGCTTTGGGGTTATAGCCTTGTCTATAACAGTTATGACATTTCTGACCTATGCCCCCATTCTGAGGGGGACAGCCCCGTGCACTCCCTGGGATTAAATAAGTGCCTGGAGGTAGCAAGTGCTCTAAATCATGAGGAGTCCTGCTGAATCAGGATCATCTGCAGCCTTCTGTTCTAGTGGCAAACAGCACATGCAATATTGAAGAGAGGGAGAGGGTTCCTTACAAAGCAACACATCCTCTTCCTCTGAGAACGCTTGCTCTGTTCCTCACCAGAAGATGCTCTCGACACACTTCCGTGACTGTTTTTCAGGCTTTTCACAATTCTGCTATGTAGAAGTGAGGGGTTTGCTTAGTGGACCACGCTCTAGCAAAGTTGCTAGAGACCTCGATTTTTCTCAGTGTCACCACTACTGCCTTTCTTAGCACAGCCACTCTTTGTTGGAGGAGGGACTGAGTGCTGACTTGGGCACCATAGCACGTTAGCAGCATCCCTGGCTTCTAGGCACTTGAGGCTAGCAGTAGCACCTTCCATGCCGCCCCAAACACACATGCTTCTGGAGACAAAATCATTCCCAACTTAGGTACCAACACAACAATGATGGAGATGTAGTTTTAAACTGTAAACTGCATCATGCACTTTGCTCCCTTGCATCATCTTTTTTTTTTTTTTTGATCATCTCAGAATAAAGTTCAAATTCTTTACTGTAATCACAGTAAATTTCCAAAACTCTATATGAACTGGTATCTTCCTCTTTTCTTTTTTCTTCCTTACACCTCACTCTCATATACTAACTGGTCTTTCTCTTCAATAAACATCTTCAATTTTTTTTAAAAAAAATGTAGGCTTTTCCTTCTGTCTAGAATGCATTTCCTGTTATGGCTCACTGTTCACCCACGCAAATCTCAGACCAAATGTAATAAGCAAGGCTTTCCCTGACCATATTCTCTAAAGAACTCCCTACTCTCTACCACAAGATAGATACCTTTTCCTTCACAGGAATACAACAGAACATTGTCTTACTTTCCCCTTTGTTGCATGCCTCTTCACTAGAAGAAGATCTTAGTCTTTTCCACTGCTATAGCTGACATGCTCTGACTAGTACCTAGCATGCACTAGGTACTCAGTAACCATCCTCTGTCAGTCTCTCGCCTAAGGCCAAGTGTCATGGTTTCTTCTTCACTTTCCCTTCCAAAATAATTTTTTTTAATTAATTGACTTGCCCTGTTTTTTCTAATGCCTCCTGACCTATTTTTTAAAATGCAGATGGAATACTGTGTATAACAAGTTAACATGAGAAAGCTTATTATGAAATATAAATATTAATAAAGGCCAATTAATAATTTGTGAAAAATGATGCCTTGCTCTGTAAGTTTCAAGCAGATATAAGATCAGGCCAGTGGTTAAGAATCATGACTTGTTTGGCCCCTCTTTGCAAATTTCAAGTCGTCAACACATTCTCGAGGGACCTAAGACTATAAAACTTACCTGGTGTAGAGACTCAAAGAATCTATTTGTCTATCGGCTGGGTTTATCATACAGTACCACAAATCTGAAACCGTTCTGTGCTGGCTTCAAGTTAATAGTACACTGGGTTAACAATAGCAGGATGGTCTAAGGTGCTGCAATGTCAATACACGTTAACAGCGCCCAGAAACCACAGCCTGCTTCTTACACGGATTTATAGGCTGTTTCCATGAAACCAAAGATGCTCGGCTCTCCTGGAAGCTGGCTGGCTGGCAACTCTTCAGTCCTGGCTATGGACCACGGCACTTCATGGAGCCATTCTGGCACTCTGCCGAGAGGCTTGCTTGTCTCGCTTGGCTGGGCTTTCTACACGGTGCACAGTAGTCTCCACCCGCAGGGACGACGACGCCCTGACGTGGCGGGAGGACGTTTCCGTGCACTGCGAGGAGGTTTCCACGTGTTGGGAGGACACCTCGAGGAATTGAGGAAGTCGCTTCGTGGAGGGGGTGAGGGAGGGCCCCTCTCGGTGGCGCTGGGAGGTCTCTACCTGCCGCGAAGACGTTCGAACCTGCCGGGAGGACGTCTCCACGCGGAGGGATGACGTTTCCTCGCGGTGGGACGAAGTCTCTACGCGGACAGTCGATGTCTCCTTGTGGCGGGTGCTTTCCACTCGCGGGGCGGAGGACTTGCTCCTAAGGGGCGAGCCCATCCTGCCCGTACACCTTAGTCAGGAGGGACAAAGAGGCCTAAGGATCATGCTCTGCATCACGTCACACAGGGAAGGGTGACGTCAGGGTGGTGTATTACGTCAGGGTAGGCAGCAGAACTCGGGGACCTAAAAACAGAAAGCTTCCGGCACGCCCCGCTCGATATATGCACGCGCAGCCGGACAGAGCGGCACAGAGGGGCGGGACTACTTTTCCCATAAGTGAGGTTGTCCCCGCCCTCGTGTCCCACTCTGCCCCGCGACCGGAAGTAGGAGCCGTGGCTTCCGGATTCTCTCTCACCAATCGAAGCTGCGGTTCGGTTGGATTGGTAGTGTTCGCGCCTCTCCGCTTGTTATGGCCACGGCCGTCGCTATGGAGACAGGTGCGTTGTGCCCTGAACCTAGAGTCTTCACCGAGGGACTGGTCCTTCGCCCCGAAATCCTCTCCCGTTTCCCTTTTCCTGCGTCGTCTTTCGGGCTCAACTTGGCATCCTTAGAGTTGGGACCGACACAGGAGAAGGCGGTGTTGCTTTTCAGAATATGGCCTGTGAGACCATCTTTGCTCCTGGGTTGCTCAAACCGGTACTCCAACCCTGGCTCTTGGGGCAGGGCGGGGCTGTGGGAGAGGACTGAGACCTTCCACTGTCTGCTCTGTGGAACTTCTCCCGAAAACTTGCCTGAAATGTCGATAACCTGTGCATTCTAATGCACCGTCTTCTCTCCATTGTTTAATCATTTTTGCATCATGCTTCGTTTTTGTGTAGCACTTTGTTTTTGCTGTTGGTAGTTGTGGTTATAACATAGGCAACCGCATAGCTATTACAGACTATCCAGTGATCTTCGCTAACATGGTGGCCTGCAGGTGGTAAATTCCCATTCTACTTATTTTTTCCTCAACAAACTTTAAAGGATTTCTTTACAATTTTCTGTTTTACTATTTTTGCTTTGGAAACAGGGTCTCACTACGTTTTATATATACATATATATATGGGTATATATGTATACATATGGTTATATATATCTTTAATTTCTAAGGAAGTCTCTTCTGCACTTTTATATTTGTTTGAGTTCATTCATGAGTGTGTGTGTGTTTATAGAGGAGGGAAGGGGGGGTGACTGTGAATACCAAGGTCAGAGGACAACTTGGAGGAGTCGGTTGTCTTCCTGTAACCCTGTGGGTTCCATGAATCGAACTCAGGTCATCAGATTTTGCTGTAAAGCACCTTTACCTGCTGAGCTGCCTCACCTGCGGTTTATTTTTGTTTCTACAAATCAATATTTGTATTGTAACTTTTGGGTGATTTTTTTAAACTGTCTTTTTTTCTAGATGATGCTGGAAATCGACTTCGGTTTCAGTTGGAGTTGGAATTTGTGCAATGCTTAGCCAACCCAAATTACCTTAATTGTAAGTAAGTACAGTACATCATTGACTTATGTAGCTATCTCTTAATGATTTCTGAGAAGAGATGTGAGTTTTAATAGTATTTATTTACTCCAGTGTGTTTGAATGGGGTTTTACTTGTGCTGGTCTGTAAGTATTAACTGAGTAAATAAGGGCTTGTGTTTTTAATTCCTTGTGTTTTGTTGGTAGGGAAGTTAAGAAGAGCTACTTTATTTTAGAGATTACAAATCAGTAGTCCAGCAGTTGGTTGACATACAGATTGTTTCTTTGTGTCTTTCAGTTCTTGCCCAAAGAGGTTACTTCAAAGACAAAGCTTTTGTTAATTATCTTAAGTACTTGCTTTACTGGAAAGAACCAGAATATGCCAAATATCTAAAGTAAGTTTAATTTTTATAATCCTAAATCTATTTATACTTTATTATAAATACAAAGTGCTGATATTTAGAAGTTTTCTTGGTGTCAGAATGGAAAACAATATTTTGACTCTTTCTGCTTTTAGTGCATGTAAGACAGTGTCATCTCTAACTTGGATTATTATAGGAATTGCATTTATTTCTGCTACCACTCTTACCTCACTCCCTTCAAACAAAACCAAACCAGTGTCTACATGGGAGCCAGCTTACGCTGTAAGTTTAATTTAAGCCAAAATATACCACTTCTGTTCATGCAGGCTAAGATCCAGTGAACTGATTTTAGACTACAGTTCTAATGTAGTGTGGTCGAGACTAACCTTGTCACTTAGCACTGCCCTTGTCTTTCTGGATTTTTAATGCCTACCAACCCTTAATCTTGGAAGGTAGGAAGTACTGTTTTCTGGGGGTCTTAGAAGTATTGCCCTTCTTTATAGTGTCCTTTGTTTCGAGCACTTGTGCTAAATGTATTGTGCACATTAATTCACTTTAAAAGAACAAACACGGACACACAGAACACTCTATCAAACTCTGCTTTGACTTAAAAAGAAAAATAAGCTGGCATACACCTTTAATCCCAATATTTGGGAGGCAGAGGTGGGCACATCTCTGAATTCAAGGCCAGCTTGGTCTACAGAGCTGCTTCCAGGACAGCCAGCTCTACACAGGTAAACCCTGTGTAGATGTTCTCCTCAAAGGAGGGGACAACAAAAAACCCATAAGTTTAGCCTGGCACCCCTTTAATCCCAGCTCTCAAGTAGCAGAGTCAGGTAGATCTCCATGACTTTGAGGCCAGCCTGGTTATGTAGCAAGCTTCAGGCCAATCAGGGCCACACAGAGAGACCCTATTTTAAAAATTAGAGGAAAACATTTCAAGCCACATTTTTTTTTTTTCCAAGACAGGGTTTCTCTGTGTAGCCCTGGCTGTCCTGGAACTCACTTGTAGACCAGGCTGGCCTCAAACTCAGAAATTCACCTGTCTTTGCCTCCCAAGTGCTGGGATTAAAGGTGTGCACCACCACTGCCCAGAGAGGAAAACATTTCAAACCTTTCTTTTTATCCTTGTCACTTTCTGACTTGATTCCTGGGTTGCCTGTAGATTTGCTCTTCAAGATGCAATTATAGATTCCTTTAGGAATCCAAATGATAGACTTGAAGTTATTGTTAGAAGATTATAACATTACATGCTAGCAAGTTTTCAGACTGGGGATTGAAAGCCTTACCCATCTTCAAGTTGAGTCTCTCCAGCCAAGCTGTTGAAAGATGATTATCTCCACTCTGGTTAGAGGCTTCCTGTGAGCTATATCCCTCTATTAGAGGCAGCTTACTCCATTGATAGCCAGGGTCTAGGGAGCTCTTCCTTACATTGTGATCAAATACACCTCCTTATAGCTCTAACCTGTTTGTAAGTTTGTTTCTTTTTTTGTTCATCTATGTCCTCTTGGAGGTAACAGCTATAAATGTTTAAATTCAAGAGAGGTTGTGAAGTAACTTCAGTATATCTTGCATAATAGTCTGAAATAACATGGTAGGAGTGATATTAGCAAAGATACTATAGTAACAGAAATGGTAGGCTTGAGATCATTTTTAGGGGAGTATCTGAATTGGAACTTGGAATGCCTTAAATAATGTTGATAATTAACTTATGAACTTAAACCCAGGTACCCTCAGTGTTTACATATGTTAGAACTGCTCCAGTATGAACACTTTCGAAAGGAGCTGGTGAATGCTCAGTGTGCGAAATTCATTGACGAACAGCAGATTCTACACTGGCAGCACTATTCGAGGAAGCGGATGCGTCTTCAGCAAGCCCTGGCAGAGCAGCAACAGCAGAATAACACAGCAGGAAAATGAAGAGCTGGGGACAGACCAGGCTCTTAGGACATGTATATAATGTATTGCTATTGTATAGTACAGAGAAAAAGACTCTTCTGCCCCCTTTATTGTAGCACTCAGAACCATTAGTGTTTTTTGGTTGGTCAACTTTTTATTACTAGATTATTTCTATTAAACCAGAATTGTTCTACTTTGATTTCTCTGGGGATTTATAAATTTCAATTGCATTTAACATAACCAGTTGAGTAAGAATTGAAATGTTAGGTGTTTTAGAACAGTTTAAGAACATGGGGGTGACATACAGTGGTACCCTGGGCCATATCATTAGGGACCTTACTGAGATCTGTTAGTCCACCCTGTATTAGTCAGGGTTCTCTAGAGTCACAGAACTTAATGGGATGTGTCTCTATATAAGGGGATTCTGCAGTCCATCTAACCCAACAATGGGCAGCTGAGAATGCTCAGTCCCACGAGGCTAGTTGTTTGAGCTGGTCTTCTGGATAGGCTAGAATCCTGAAGAAGCAAGTTCCAACAGATGTGCTGGCAAGTAAGTACAAGCTGGCAAGAAGAGTGAGCCTTCTTTCTATCATCCTTAAGTAGACCTCCAACAGAAGGTATGGCCCAGACTAAAGGTGTACCACTACACCTGGATTTGGAACTTGCTCTGTCCCAGGCTGGGCTTGAACTCACTCGAGATCTGCTTACCTCAGTCTCCTGAGATTAAAGTCTCCTGGTATTACCTCACCTGGGCCTAAGCTTTTCATTGCTACTATGCCTCAAGATCTGGATCAAAAGTGTGCCCTCCATTTCTGGATTATAGTTCATTCCAGATGTAGTCAAGCTGACAACCAGGAGTAGCTATCACACACCCCTCCTGTTTTCAGGAGAGGGGACTGGAGTCAGGGAGCTCTAAGTTCCTTCTTTCTGCAGGAGAGGATATACTCAATTGCTCCCTGTTTTGTAAGATAGCTGACCTGGGGGTGGTGGGGAAAGACTGGCAGTTAATGACTAAATGGACTCTTGTCCTTAAAAATGAGCCTCAAACATCTTTGGGAAAGTTAACATTTATTTGGTAAGTACCACAAATAGGCACTGTCTTAAAATACTCTGAATTTTCTTTTAATCTATTTCAAACAGATGTTTATGTATCTGTGTTAATTGCTTTTGTGAATGTACCCATGTATCTGGTCCTGAAGGAGGACAGTAGGAGAGGACATCAGATCCCCTGGAGTACAGTTGAAGGTGGTTGTGAGCCACTACATGATGCTGGGAACCAAACCTGGATCTTCTACAAGGGTGGCAAGAACTGTTAACCACCACTCTTTTTTGAGACAGGACCTCACTTTGTAGCACAGGTTGCCTTGGAACTTGTGATTCTTTCACTTCAGTCTCCTGAGTACTGGGCTTCAAAGTGGCTACTAGGCCTGACTCTTACTTATTTATTTTTAAATGTGTATGAATCTTTGACCTACATGTATATCTATGTACCATTTGTATTCCTGGTTCTCTCAGAGACCAGAAGAGAGTGTCCAGTCCTCTGGAACTGTAGTTACCATTCATGAGCTGCCATGTGGGTGCTGAGAATTGAAACCACGTCCTCTGGAAGAACAGCCCGTGCTTTTAAGCACTGAATCACCTCTTCAGTCCACACTCTTGCTTTACTTGCAGAACAATCGTTGAGCTTTTCATTTGTGACAAGGTTCTGTAGTTACCCTTGCTTCAAACTTGTGATCCTCTTACCTTAGCATCTGAAGTAATAAGATTACAGGTGTGTGTCATTATGACTGACACAATTCTTATTTGAAGAAATTGGGATTTAGATAGTACTTTGCTTGAGGCTAGGAGAACCAGCCTGTTTCACAGCAGGAGAATCACATTTTAGACATTTGTGAAACAAAACTGCCTGAATTAAGCATATGAATTCCATGTCTTTCTTAAATGGTTTAATGAAGTTCTCCATTTCAAAGGCAGAAAAGGGTTTTGCACATACACAGAATTTAAGGTAATAGATACTAATTGCTGCAGAGTTTGAAGTTAATAAGTTACTTCAGTATTTCCTTTGAGTTACTACTACTATACTGAAGACTCGTTTTACTCAAATCTTAGCCATGTGTTAAAAAAAACTAATTAATGTTTTCCATTTAATTAATTTTTTTAAAGATTTATTTATTTATTTGAGTACACTGTAACTTGTCTTCAGACACACCAGAAAAGGGCATCAGATCCTATTACAGATGGTTGTGAGCCACCATGTGGTTGCTGGGAATTGAACTTAGGACCTCTGGAAGAGCAGTCAGTGCTCTTAACCGCTGAGCCATCTCTCCAGCCCTGTATTTTAATTCTTTATTGTTTAGACATACACTGATTTTTAACATCATTTACTCATCAATTCAAAGCAATTACGTGACTTCTTTTAAATGAACCAGGCGACCAACACAAAATTGCAATCATCAGGCTTGTTTGGTTTGGTTTTTCCAGACAAGGTTTTGCTGTGTAGCTCTGGCTGTCTTGGATCTAAATTTGTAGGACAGGCTGGCCTCAATCTCAAAGAGGTCCAGCTGCCTCTGCCTCCTGAGTGCTGGGACTAAAGGCATGTGCCACCACAGTCCAGCAAGGTCATCAAATCTTAATCTTCAGAGAAGATCATCTCCACGAGGTTAGCTTGACAGCACTCAGACTCCACAAGTTTTTGAGGCTGTAAAAAGAACGGTTAAGTTTTCACCACTACTATGAATATTACTAGGGGTGGAATGAATTCTACTTTGAATGACAAATTTTTGAACACAGAAATTATGCCATCAGCTAGTTATAACAAGCTTTATTAAATAGTTAGGATACTTGTCTCAAGATGAATCATTAAAACACTTGGCCTGAAAGGCCTAAAATTTCCACATCAGGAAGCCCCATAGGCTGAAAACAAGAGACAGCATGCCCAGTGCCATCTCTTTCCCTCAACTCTTTAATTTAGGATCCTAGGGGCAGGGCAGAAATATAGGGAGAGCCCTTTTAAACATGAAAAATGGATTTAGGAAACATTGACAAAGGTGCTTTCAGAAATGAGTCAACTTCTTCTGAACACAGAATCTTAAAAGTGGCTTCAAAACACACCCCAAACTTGACTCTAAAGCAACATGAGTTTTAACTACATTATAACTACAACATAAAGATAGATACTTACTGTTCCATATTTAAGTAGTGTAGGCACTGCGGTTATTTTCAGTTTTTGTCTGAAGTCATTATTTGGGTCTTTCCAGCTGTTTCAAAAGGAAAAAGATAATGAAAAATAAATACTACTTGGTTTATTACAGTTTACTTAACAGTTGATCTATACATATTAGTAATCATTGCTTTTGTTAGCCTTTAAACATTTTGAGAACTGTAACTTATGTGTCACTTTCTGCAAAGTTTAAAGTGTGGCTAAGATAAAACATATATGTAAAGTCAATAGAGTTCTGAACTTATTCCAGACCAAATTCATTGATGATATGTAGCTGAACATAAAAGGTAAATATGAATTCAATAATTCTCATTGTTTGGTGTATCAGTCAATACCTAAAACACAGAGCCTGATCAATTATCTGAGGTCCTTTCTACCCGACTTTTTAATAATCTAGTCCATGTCTGGAGATACAGTATACATAATTGATCACTTACTAAGGTTTGTCTCCTACTTGGCAGTAGATGAACACACAGTCTTCAGTGACATGCTTCAGCCCCTCTCGAATGACTGGCTCAGCTTTTTAAAAAAGTTAAAAAGTAATTATACAACTGTGCTAGCCCGGCGCCCTCCCCTGTCCCCAGTCTTAGACTTTAACCCGTTGTAAGATAGGATGTCGTCTGGGCTCGTGAATCACTTAAGTCCTAGTCCTGATTGTCTTTAAGGCACATACAGAAAATTAGCATAGATATTTGCTAACGGAAAGATCAACTCGCGAGTCAGGTCTTTTTTATGAGACACTAAAGGTTTGGGGAACTGAAAATTTTAAAGAACCAAGTTCCAAGATCTAAATCCATGATAAAAATGAGAGTCATCCTTAGGTGGAGCGAGTAAGGACCTGACGAGAGACAGGGTATAGCTCAGACGCTTCTGCGGGTCTTCAGGACCAAGATCCTCATCTCAGCCCACTTTCTGACTTCAGCAGGGGCCTTCTTCCTACCACTTCTGTGGCGCAGCAACCCCCAGTCCTAGTTCCAATCTCACCTTCCACGCAGTCCGGACACCAGCTCTTCCCTTCGGTATCCTTAGAACCGCTGAAGTAGGCGAAAATGGTTTTGCCCTCATGCTCCTTCACTGCCTTGTCGAACTCCTCGAAGCCCAACACGCTCACCTCCTCGAAGGTGGCCATGAGTACAACAGTCCAGAGAGGAGCGCAGGAGGTGCCCTAGGGTCCCGCCGCCTCAAGGCGGGGCCCAAGTAAGGCGTAGGCAACTTTCCGGGTGGGCGGTGCCGCCGCAGTGCGGTGCTACGGGAGCCTTGGATGGCCATAACTCCATTGGACCGTCCTTTTGGTCTGCTAGAGTTTTTTTTTGGCGCCAGTTTCCTTCAGACATCGAAACGCCTGACCTAGTCTGGTCTCCACCCTGGCTTCATGGACAATGACTGCAAATCCCGTCGCGATACTACACCTTGATCCTCAAATGGCTCAGGAAGCTCAACGGCTCCGAAACAGCGGCGCGCCTGTTGCCATGGCGACTGCGCGAGAGGCCGGAAGCGAGGCCTAGTTTGGGGTCGCCGCACAGTCTCTTGGTGTCCGCGCCTCGCCCAAATCAGGTGGGCTCGGGCTGGAGCTGGGGGAATTCTGGGAAGCTGCATTAGGCAGAGAGACAGTGAGAGACACCTCGCCTCGGGCTTGCCTTGCAGCTCCGCCCCTCCTATTACCTTTCCATTTGTCAGACTTTAGGGGGGCCGGGGCTGGGGGCGGCGTCCGGGATTGGGCGGGGGTTTGGAGAGAGCTGGGAGGCAGAAAGGCAGCGAGGACTGGATCCGAGTGTTGTGAGTGCGTGTGCGGGCACGCTGTCTAGGGGAACAGGTGCAAAGACAGCGAGCCTGAGGTTGCATTGGGGAAAGGAATTGTCCAGGAGCTGCGAGCCTGGCACGGGGCCCTTGCCTGGGCTACGCGAGTGTACGCTGGTAGCGAAGATGCCGGCTCATTGCGTGAGGGCCGGCAGGTTGCGGCGGGGTGTTCGGCCTCTGTGGACGAGGAGGTGGGGTGTAGGGTTGTCCCGAGGCTATGGAGTAAGGCGCCGGGTGAGGTCTTCAGTGCGGCGGATGCTCTGTGCAAACGTAGGGAGGCTGCAGAATGGTCAGAGGCCTTTAGAGAAGAGAACCGTGGAGCCTGCAGTCCCCCCTGGGGTGAACAAGGTCTTTGGGACACCTGGGACTGCAGGCTCGGTTGAGGCAGCAATGGACCCCAGGACAGTGTGGGTAAACGGGGCTGTGGGTGAGCCCGAGGTGGTTGGGCCTGCTGGGGCTGTGTGGATGACTGTATCTGGGGAGGAGGAGCTAGACAATAGGAGCTCACCAAGCTGTGAGAGAAAAGGTCGACCAGGAACACTTGGCCATGAGAGCATCCTGGAACTGTGGTTGAAGGTGCAGGCTATGAGGGTAGCTTCAGGATGCTGGGAAGGAAGCAGAGTGGAGCTCCATCCTGTTCCTGCGGGAGAGGGACCGGTCGAGAAGGGTATTCCTGGGCGAGCTTCCTGGGTAGAGACCAGCCGAGGTGGTGTCACGGGACCCTGGGTGAGAAAACATACTAGGACTTTCCCCCAGGCCTCAGGACTGCCCACAGCTAGGAGGATAGGGGCAGGTTGTGAGAGAGTCTCTATCCTTTGTAGGCAGGGACAAGCTGGGAAGATGCCTCCTGATGTGGGTGGACCTGAGGTAGTAGAGAAGATAGGCTGTGCTGCCTCTGGTCCTTGGGAAAAAAGACAAACTGTGGTGGTGCCTGAGGCCATAGGATGGTCTCAGGCCTTGAAAAGGCCCAGAGCTGGAGAAGTGAGAGAATGTGGGGTTACCTCATGTCTGTGTGGGGGAGGGCAGTCAGTGCAGGTTTCTGGGGCTCTGGCAGAAGAAGCTGAATATGGGCATATGTTATGGGAAAGCGGGCAAATCGAAGGGGGCCCTGATGCTTTGTTGGTACTACCCAGGGCTATGGAAGATGAAACTACCTCCCACGGGGGCCCAGGGTTGTGGCAAAGGAGACAAGAGGAAGAGGATATAGGTTCTAGGAGTATTCCTGGCCTAAGGACCATGGGACAGCCTGTAGGTGTGCCTTGTGCTCGAGAAGAGGAAGCTAGATGTGGAGGTGACCCAGGGTCATGGGGAGCTGCACAGACTGCAGAGTTGTGTGCTCCTGAGGAGCAGGAGATAGGTTCTCGAGGTGCCCAGGGCCTGTGGGGTATAGAACAGGCAATGGGAGCAGCCAGGGCCCTGGGGAAGGAGGCAGATGACGCAAGTGTTCCAGGACTGTGGGGAAAAGGACAGCTGCCAGGTTTGCAGACTGTGGTGGTATCAGGAGAGAGGGAAGAAGAAACCAGCTATGACGTTTCAGGCCTGTGGGAGAGGCAGCAGGCTCAGGAAGCTCCTCTGGCTGAGCCATTGCCAGGGCCAGTTATGGAGGAGACATACAGTGGGAATCCTCTAAGCCTGTGGGAAAGGAGGCAGGTCATGAGGGAGCAGGAGGCTCAGGAGCCTGCAGCTTTAGGGATCCCTGGGGCTGTGGATCAGGGTGTCAGATGTGGAGCTCTCTCTTGTCCGTGTGGGAGGAGGCAGGCTGTGGGATTGATTGAAGCAGTTGTGCCAAAGCACAGGTGTACCACAGAAGGTGTATCCTCAGCCCTAGGTGTGCCTGCCGCCTTGTGGGTGTGTCAGGAAAGCAGCCCTCCAAATGGTGTGAATCTGCAGGGAAGAACTCAAGTTGCCTGCGGGAGGCCCATGGCTCCTGAGGAGTGCTCATCAGTGGGAGAGCATACTGAACCTGGGGTTCTCCCATGTTCATGGGGAAGGAGACCAGCTATTGGGGTTCCCCTGGCTCCTGAAATACCTGGTTCTCTGAAGATTGAGGCTGGCTCCAAAAATTTCTCAGGCTTACCAGGAAGGAGACAAACTGTAGGTATACCTGTGACTGCAGGGGTATCTCCAGCTGGTGTGGGCGTGGCTCTCAGGGCATCTAGTTCTTTGTGGGAGCACAGCTGTAGGAGAGCCTCAGACTCAGGAGGCAGGTCACCTACAAGGGTATCAATGACTGTGGGGCTTCCTGAGTCCATGGGGGATGCGACACTCTCTGAGGGTTTACTAAGAAGCCAGTCTGCTGTGATGCCTGTGGCAGCTAGAACTTCCACAGCTGTGGGAGTGCCCACAGCTTCTGGGTGCTTTGGGCCTTACAGGGTGGTGGATGGAGGCTGTGGAGAAAGCTTGGGGATATGGCAAAGAAGACAAATGACTGAGGTACCCATTGCTGCCACTGTCCCTAAGTTTGAGAGGGAAGCAGGCTCAGAAGGTATCTCTGATCTGTTGAGAAGACACAGTGGAAGAGTTCCTGAGGCAGCGAGGGAGGCTTTGCATCAGGGGGTGCTGGCAGGTGTTGGGGTTCCCATGGTCAGACATGTGCCTGCGGCAGTGTGGGTGACTGGGCCCTCTGGAGAGGAGGCAAATGAAGGTGTCTCTGACTGGACAGTGCTTAGAAGACTGTCTGCTGAGGGAGTAAGGGCATCAGGGGAAGAAACAGTGAGTAGACGGAGCCTGGGACTTGTAGGGAGGGGTCAGGCTATGGAAGTGTCTTACACCGGTGAGCTTGGTTCCAGGATGTGGACCAGTCCAAGGTCTGCAGGGGAGGAAACAACTTGTGAGAATATTCCCAGAGTATCTGCAATGAGGACAATTCTGCCGGCAGTTTCAGGGGAGGAAATAGACCTTGGCCATTTCAGAGATGATGTGCAGGGGAATGGGAAGAGAGCTGTGGGAGGGATTCCTGAAGCTAGAGTGACAGTGAGTGATTTGGGAGAGATGGGGGAGGGTGGATTGAGAGGCACCTTCCAGTAGATACATAGAAAACAGTTGGAGATGTCCTGGGGTTTGGGGGGGAAGAGGTTGGGGAACCGTTTGTCTTGGGTATAGATGAAGGAACTGATGTGTAGGGACCTCATGATTCCTGGAGAGATACTTTGTGGCAAGTGTCATAGGGTGTGTAGGGTAACAAATTGGGAGACTTTTAGAAAGATGGGGAGTGCATTACAAGGAGAGGGCTATCCCAGGACTTTTTACAAGGGAATGGTATGGGGTGGGTGTCCTGGACTTGTGTGTGAGTGTGTGTGTGATTGTTGACTTGAGGTGCACAGCCTCAACTATGCAGCTCATTCTGTGGCTTCAGCTCCAGCCCTGTGGTGCTGGCAGGCCGGCTGGCATTGCCTTGCTAGTGTGTGTCCCATCTGCTTCTTGGATCATGTCTCTGTAGTCTTAGAAACAAGCAATCATGTACAGCTGTCTTTATATTCCTGCAAATGCATCCAGAGGATCCAGTCTGTAAACTTCTGATTATTTTTTAAAAATTTAAGCCAGGTTTTTTTTTCCTCTTAACCTTGAACTTCCCAATTGATTTACTCTAGAATTCTTTGAGAGAACAAAATTTCCAGTGTATTTTAAACTTATAATTTCTCAGAAAATTGCTCAATGCAACCATGTTGCATTAAAATTGTTTACTGTGTTCAAAATACTGATTGTGGGAAATAAAAGAATAAGACAAGGCCCTCAATTCTCAAGGAGCCAAGTCTAGCTGGGAAGCTGAGATGCAGACAATGAAATAGGTAAATGGCTATGTGTGACAACATGGTTGACGCCAAGCGGCAGGGCCATTCAAGTGTGTTAGAAGATCTTCAGAATAGAGAGAAGGGTGGGGGTGGAGCTCCTTAGAGCATCCCAGATTCTTCAGTTAGCCAGAACGTGGTCTCACTGTCAGTGTGTACAGAGTGGGCATGGCGGGGGATCTAAACATCTAGAGAGCTTGTTCAGCTAGTTAAAACCCCAGCTTTAGTTAGAGTCGGTGAGGACTTTATCTGAGCTACTTAACATTCTGGAATGAATACATTCTACTCTTTTGACCAGTAGTTAGGGTCTATTCATGTAGAACATGCCCATGAAACTATCTGGTCATAAAAACAACAGTTGGTCACAATAAAACTTACTATAGAGCCCTAGGCTTTAAAATGAAAACGGCCCAAGGGATTATCATTAAAGAGTGGCTCCCTAGTCTTCTGAAAATGAGAATTTCAAAAGTGGCTGCTTTTATAAATGCAAGAACTCGACCTCTTTTTAAGCAATCATTCTTGCATGAGGTTACTGTGAGTTTAATCTAAAATGTTGCTATATATGCATGGGATTATCGAGTTTTTTTAATCTGTTATTTG